GGTTGATTAGTCTTGCTAAAGACTCCTTACGTATCCGCTCTGCTTTCAGGATATCCTTTCCTCGTTCTCAGACCTCCACTAAGGCGATGATTGCCTTCTTTCCTGAGATGTTTGTGTAAATGGATTGTATTTCAAAATTTACCAACTTTTCCGTCCCTAACACTCCAATATTTTTTATCTTCTGAGAAAACGCATATAAATTCTCAATGGTATTCATGAGTCTGTTATTCACTCTCTTGAGCTTCGAGGAAATGAATTTCGCCAGGTTGTGTGTTTCCCTATGCTTGTTGATTCTTAATCTTAGCGGATTTCCTTCCTTGTATATCTTCGGTAGTCCTTTGGCTGTCGGTGGTCTTGTGTCATTTTTTATTAAAGATTTCATCATCCATCCGTCAATTGTGCATATTATTCGGTGCCCCGTCGATCTTCATTATTGGATCATTTTTTACTATTCCATGGATGTTCCTGTAGCCTAGGATACTTTCCATTTCCTTCGTGTACTGTTGCCTGTCCATTATCATCGTCTTACTTCCCTTATTCTCTTGAAGAACTTGTGTGCTTTCGTTATTTTCTACATATCTTCACTCCTTTTCATTTGTCCTTGATGGGTCAGAATTATCAGGATTAATTCCATTTCTATCTCCTGTTTGGCCTCTTCTGGGAATTTCTCCGAGATGTTGACGACTTCTACAAGGATATCTTAAAATGTTTCCTTCGTTACCGCTTGAAAAATTTAACAATTTCTTTAGGAGATTCACCGTTTCGGAATCAAGAGGGATTGAGGTTTACTACCTTATCCCTATCGTCGGTTGTAGCAGTTGATGCCTTCAATAGAGAACCAACAAAATTTCTTTGGGTTGGTTTAATCTTGCACTTTCTTATTATCCCATATCGAAGCAATTTTTTGTCATGCTGCTTATTTATCAAATCCTGGACCCTCTGCGACTTCTGATCAGTCATACTTTGGAGTTTTTGAAAATCATTCGGAATGAGAACGTTTCCTAGATCTATTCTTAATCCAGACTTAATATCTATGAACTTAAATAGATTCCGCCTCTTAGTCCCGTAATTTTTGGATGGAGGCGTGATAAAGTATTTCATTAAGTGTCTAAATGACACTTCCTCATTGGGTTGCAAAATCCAGGAGCGATACCATAATGCTTGCAACAATTCAAAAAGGTCAAATGGCAGGATTTACTTATAATTGTCTTTATTGTTCGTCCACAATCGGTGCATTGTTTGTCAATCCTACTTCTATAGTTTATTCGAAAATATAAAAGGCCAAGATGGTGTGGCATTTTGTATAATCGTGGTCTCCTTTCTTTTTATAGAGGTTGTTTGAACTTGTTTTCGCAAGGAACGCACCTTGTCCATAATCCATGGTATGGATGATAATTTTTAGAGTTGGACTGTGGACTTGGTAGAACCATCATATTTTGGGGGTTAGCACGCAATATAATGTTATAGAAGAGCGAGAGAAACTGTAGTGGTCATTTCTAGTTGGCTATTAGTAGATAATTTTGCTCATATACGTGGTCCATGAAGTAAGGGTTTGACCACGAGATGCCGCAAATCGATAAGAGAATCTGCAGCGTCAAGTTAGGTTGCAATGCCAATTGAGAATCCAGACTTTAGGGGCTTGTTCAATGAGGGTGGTGTATGTGTTATCAAAGGCTTTAGGCAGAGTGTAAAACAACTCCTTGTAAGTAGCATGGATATTGTGGCAGTGATTATATGCATTCACTGAAACAGACAGATAAGGGAAGGATTCTGCGGTGCAAGAGGGGACTCCGATAGGACCCGAAGAGAGGATTGCGAACTACCCCGCAGCCTTTAATCAACACTTTTGAAACAATGGGAGGGATGAGGAAACCAGCGAGGAGTGTGAATAGATTTCAAATAGGTCTAGATAAACAAGTAGGCAATTGTGATATTGAAGGTGTGATATGAGGTCATAGGATAGGTGAATAGCCGAGGAGAGAAGGAAAGATACCACAACTGTTCAGTACACGTTTCGTCAAAGGATCAACTTCACTTGTCTCTTTGACGAGTTGTAGTTTGGCTCTAAGGATGGTAAGGCTCATTGACGATGCCGACTACTATGCCGGCGAAACGTCTGGGAATGTACCAAATCCACGGTCCGACTCTGGAAATTATCATGCATCTTATGTACTCCGAACAAGGTGCGTTCCTCTAGGTCTTCCTGTCAATATGAGCAAGTTTCGAAAACAGTCAGCCAACTTCTATACAACGAAAGTAGACCACAACCATACAAAAGGCCACACTACTCTTGTCTTCATATCTTCTAATAAATTAGGCTTTCTTAGATATCGTAGGTAATAAGATCATGACGATGAATTCGTTAATTTTTTCTATCCTGTCCTGAGTAGTATCTTCTTTGAAACACATTAATTTCATTATAAGCAAACTGGCTCTTAAATATCTAATAATATATGTTCTTTCATCGTACATGTGGGTCTTAGCTGACTTATCTGATGCCTTTGATCGGCAAATATTTGCACTTAAGCACGTTTTCTTAATTTCCTTCCTTTTTTACTCTATTGTCCAACTTCTTTTTAATGTTTTTTTCCTGATTAATAATGATCTTCCTGTCTTTTAATTTATCTTTAAGATCGAATATTGCCAAAAATTCGGTTTAATCACGTCTATATCTACTCTGAAATGTCTAATAATTTTGCCTCTACTATACTTTTTCTTTCTCTATCTTATGTATCTCAGGTTGTTGTCGACTTTTTTGGCGAGACTCGTCGTGTTCCCCTTATTCCTAACGGGGGAGAGATTCCAGTAACACAAGAGAATAAGTTGCGCTACGTTGACGCTTACGTAGATCATGTTTTGAACACATCATGCAAATCTTCTTATGAAGCTTTCCACCAGGGCTTCCACCACGTTTGTCAGAGCTACTCATTAAAGATGTTCCAGCCTATTGAGCTCCAGGTATTTTTAATAATACGATCATTTCTGAAGATTTAGCCTTATATTTCTGTCAGTATTACAGTAATATGACAAGTTTCGATTCGCTTAATGCCTTATTTTCAGTATGGAAAATAAGGTAGCTTTTTCTAGTTTTAGTTCGTGTGACTTGGCTATTGTGACATATGTCAAAATGAGGTAAGTTGAACTCCATAAAAGTCTTATGAAACTTCAACCAAGCCAGTAGCCACACCATATGTAGCTTACTATCTACACAGCCTCCATTTCTAGTCCATCATTTTTTGCCACAGCACCTAGGCTCTTTTTTATTTTTTATTCTTTATTCATTTTCATGTGTACGATCCGAATTTTATTTTGATGTATTGAAAAACTAGATTAAAATTCTGGGGATATAAACTTATGTACCTTTTATTTTTATTTGGGATAAATAGATTCTTTACTTATCTAAACGTTTAAGTTCAACAGATAACTCAAGTATCGAGGGGATAAGGGTTTTTTTATTTGTGAGTTTTATGCGCACAAGGCAAAGGCTTCTTCAGTCTAATCAATATTACTTTTTAAGCGGGTTGATCTCGTTTTTTTCAACTTGGTTGTGTTGTCAGGGCGACTTAGTTTGACGTATCTTGTCTGAAGTCCTTTGCTATAGTAGTTATCACCTTGGGCTTGGTATCTTTCTCGGATATTTCCCCGGCATCATCAATGAGCCTTGCTATTCTCAGTACCAAGCTACAACTTGTCAAAGAGACAAATGAAGTCAATCCCTTGACCAAACTTTTTGACGAAACGGTTGTGCTATTATTCCTCTTTCTGTTTTAGCCCATCCATCTACTTCTTACCATCCTTTCATACTCCCACTAAATCACAATTTCTGACTTGCTTAGATTCTACTTCTCAAAAGATGTGTCCTTTTTGGCAAGCTTAGTGTGGCGTCATCACACCTGCTATTCACATTGCCCCTTTCTCTGAGCAGCGGACAAGGTGCGCCCAACTAAGTCGCTCTGACAACATTAACAAGTTGCGAAAACGGCATCAAA